GTGCGCGCGGCCGGGCTGGGGCCGCTCTGCCGCTTCTCGGTCGTGGACGCCTCGAGTCCCCTTTTTTATTGGGCGGATCGTGGCGTTTTTCTTTTTTTTATCGCGACGGAGTGCGGTGATGGTCCGCAGCCCGGATTTGCGAGGAGAATGCGGGAGGGCATAGAACCCGGTAGTCTGTCTAACGCCTTCTGAGGCGCTGCACGCAGGCAGGGGAAGGAAGTGGCTGAAAGGCTGTGCGCGGAGAGGCACCGGCGAGGCTCGCGAGGGTGCCGGCGCCGGCGCCCGCCCTCCCCGCCGAGGGTGCCCGCGTAGCGGCCGAGCCTGCCTGCTGTCACTCGAGCCCTGCCCGGCGCGTGATGCGCGGCGCCTTGGCGGCTCCAGGACCGCTGCGCCGCTCCCCGCGGACTTGACTCTCATAAACTCATCAAAATAAAAGCCTCGGGTTTTGTGCGTAGGGAATGATGCTGGTGCGGTTGTTTTAAGACAGTTTGGAAAATGTAAATATTTGATTACATTTTTGGTATTGAAGAATGAAATTAATTGCCTTTCGGTGTTGGTTGGGGCTCTAACTTGCATAAAGAAATTTCATTTGTGTGCCTACTCTTCATACGGGCGATTTGAGATGTTCCTGGTCTGTTAACTACTTCAGATGCACGTTTTCTGAAATTTCCTTTACCTAGAAATACAGTTGCATGCATACCTACGTGTCTTTCGTTTAATGTACTCCCTCACCCAAAAAGAGAAAAGGCTAGATTTTCTTTTCCTGCATTGCATTCCTGCCTTGGATTCCCCAACTTAAAATGGGGCTGTGGTTGTAGAACTGATTTGTTCTTTATCATCCTGGAAGTTATCTTCGCAGGGCAGTTGCTTGCTGGTAATGTAGTCTTGTCAGCCTAAATTGACAGAGAGAAATCCACATTTGGCTTATCTTAACTGCCAGGACGGAGTAGCCAGTTCAGATTTGTTTAATGACATCTTCAGGATAATTGCAAGCCAGAAGTGGTTGTGTGAGTTTGTGATCCTAGCCCTCTGGGAAGCTGAGGCAGGAGGATCACAGGTTTAGGTTTAGCCTGGCAATTGAGCGACTTACCTTGTCTCAAAATAAAAAATTAAAACGAAACAAAACAAAACCCCAGGGAGTTCAGTTTCAGTACACCTGGGTTCAATCCCTGGTACCAGAAAAAAAAAAAAAAATTGATAAAGTTGTAGTTGTTTGAAACCATTTGCAACAATTTTGTGGTTGTAATGGTGAGGTGTGCTTTGTCATTTTAGTTTTTTATTAAGGCTTAATGGGTTGCCATACTTCATCTTGTCTGACTTTATATTTTATTTTTTATTTTTTGGGGGGAACCGGGGATTGAACTCAGGGCCTTCGGTTTGCCAGGGAAGTGCTTATTCCACTGAGCCATCTCCCCGGCCCCTCTGACTTTAAAGAAAGTTGTCTGTAGGTTGAGAATGGGTGCCCTAGCCTAACTCTAGAGGCAGAGATAATCTTAAATTTTGTGAATTAGTTGTATTTTTTCACAAACATACCTTGCTTATATTAGCTTTGAGTAATTTTTACTGAAGTAACTACATTGGCTTTTTTTCAGTTTCTAGTGACAGTAAGTTTGAACTTGGTAATATTTATTCAGGAAAATTAGTTGGGACAATGGGATTTAGGAAGGAGGGACACTTAGAGGTTATTATTAGGGAAGACTCATGGGCAGGAAGAAAAGCCCTGATCTGGAATTGGGGATATAAAGCTTTTAGTTTTTACTGCCACTTTGGACCTTCTACTTCAAGGCAAGGCGCTTAATGTCTCTGGATCTCCATTTTTTTTTTTTTCTTGGCGGAACCAGGGATTGAACTCAGATCCTTGCGTTTGGCAGTCAAGCACTTATCCTACTGAGCCATCTCCCCGGCCCATGGATCTCCATTTTTTAAAAAACATTTTTGCTAGGTGTGGTGACGCATGCCTATAATACCAGCACTAGGGAGGCGGAGGCTTGGACTACAGAGTGAGACTGTCTCAAAACAAACACTACCCCTCCCCCACCATTTTTGACCCTGATTTAAAAAAATAACAATAACCTAGCAGCAAATCCTAATAGTAATTTTCCTTATTCTAGTCTTTTTAAAAATCTGTGTATTTTGGGGACCGGCAAGATAGCTCAGTGGACTGAAGTGCCTGTTTAGGCAAGCGCCCCAGCACTACTTACTGTGCCAGCCCCATCCCCAGGGTGCACAGAGCTGGTCTGGCCAGAGTCCAGACTGGGTGGCACACACCTGTAAGCCCAGCACTTGGGAGGCTGTAAATAAGAGGATCAGTATGAGTCCAATCTATGCAGTAAGACCCTGTGTAGACCCTGTAGACCTATAAAAAAAATTGTGTATTTTAACATAATTGCTATTATATTGTGTATAACAATTTTTATCTTCTAACATTATAGCTTAGTTATGTTTCCTTATTATTACATCTTCTAAATAAAACAGATTTGAAGACTACATTTTATTTATTTATTTATTTATTTTTACTCTGGCCAGCTGAGCCCACCCTTGGGGTGGGCTGGTGCACCTTGTGATGCCAAGCTATCTTTCAGGCCCCAAACTTGATATTCTTGGCCAGGGAACTAGGGCTGCAAGTGCAGAGTAGTGGTCGAGTGCTTGCCTACCAAGTACGAGGCCCTAGGTTCAATCCCTAGCGCTGCACACAACAACAACAAAACCCCAAAACACCTACAAGAAATGAAGACAAAACAGAAACTTGTTCACCACTGTTTTGCGATAAAAGCTTTTTCATTTAATCATAAATTACTGTAGGGCCAAGGAGATAGCTCAGTGGCATAATTGTCTACCTGGCAAGTGTAAGGTCCCAAGTTCTATCCTGGGATTGCAAAGAAAAAAAGTCTACTTCCTTAAATTGGAATTACCCGGGCTGGCCAGGTAGTTTAGTGGATTAAAGCACCTGCTTAGGTAGACACATCGGCCGGGTTCATTCCCCGGCCTGCCGTGCTTGCCCTGCTGTGCTGGGACCTGCTTCTAGGGCCCACTGAGATGGAGTGAGACTGGGCGTGGTAGTGCCCACCTGTAATTCCAGCACTTGGGAGGCTGAAAACAGGAGGATCACTATGAGTCTGTGTAGTGAGACCCTACTACACTAAATACATTAAAAAAGATAATAAAATTTTAAAAATTGGATTACCCATTTTTATTTTTTAAAATGTATTTGATTGTTGTAGGGTCTCACTATGCAGCTCAGATTGGTGGTGATCCTCCTGCTTTCAGCCTTCCCAATGCTGAGATTATAGGCATGGAGCACCCCAGCTCCAGGCCCGCTCAGAGACATAGGGGTGGGGGGGTGCAGCATGTGGTGCCAGGGAGCAAAGTGTGGTCCTTGTGCTTGCCTAAGCAGGTGCTGTAGTCTGCTGAGCTATCTTGCCAGCCCCTAGGATAACACATTATTGGAGGAAAAAATAAAAGTTAAGGGGGAGATTTTTCTTAAAAATGGCAATCACCAGACAGAATTCTCTGATGCTAGCTGGGCATGGTGGGGCATATCTGTAGTCCAGGCAGTCTCTATATGCTGAGGCAGGAGGATTACAAATTCAAACCTAGTTGGGGCCACTTAGAGGAGACCATCTCTTTTTTTGTTTGTTTTGGCATTTTAGGGCAGGGTCTACAGGGTGTCACTGCATAAATCAGACTCGTAGTGGTTCTCCTTTTACAGCCTTGCAAGTGCTGGGATAACAGGCTGGTGCAACTACATCCAGTCTCAATTGCTGACTCAGCATGGGGGTGGCTGGCCGGGCCTGGAATCAAACTCCTGGCCCCTGCTTCTGCTTAAGCAGGCAGCTTTAATCCTATGAGCTACTTGGCTGGCCCTGGGGAGACCATCTCTTAAAAGGGCTCTGAATGTGCAGTGTGGAGACCTGGGTTCAACCCCCAGACGTTTCATCACCAAGTAGATTGAAATAGGAATTACTGAAGTTCTGTTAGTTAAGGATTTTTATTTCCTGTAAGGGGAAAAAACGTTTTTGCATTTGATCTATGTACCAATTAACATCCATTTATTGGTTTATTTTATCCAGACAAGGTCTTTACTGGGTGTATTTGAAGAAGATGCTACAGCTATTTCCAACTATATGAATCAGTTGTATCAAGCTATGCATCGGATTTATGACGCACAGGTAAAAATTTATGATACAGTGCTGTTTACAAGTGAATCTTTAAGCCCCATGCTAGCCCTGCCCTGAGTGAGAAGCGTTTGAGAAAAGGATGGATGAACATTAATTACATTGTATTATAGAGCTTACTTTTCCATTACGAGTGTATAGTTTCTAACACTATAAAAGTGACAAGAGGACCAGGGAGATAGCTCAGCGGTCTAAGCACCTGGCTGGCAAGTGCAAGGACCTGGGGTTGATCCCCTCTACTGCATGTTGTACCTGCCCAGGAACTCTGGGTTAGCTCTGCCTGCCCAAAATGGGGCGTGGTGACACATGTCTGTAATCCCAATGCTGGGGAGGCTGAGACAGGAGGATCACTACGAGTCTGAGCTGCAAGCTTCTGATTTGAAAGCAGCTGTCTGTAGTTAAAAAAAGGTAGTAAAAATTAATATAGCTTTGAGATATAGGAAGGTGAATTAAAGGCTATAACTAGAGCTTTTCTATTTTCTTTTTTATATGACTAGATTTTCTTATGGAATAGACATAGCACTTGAGTTTGTATAACTTTTTTTTTTCCTAATGTATTTGATACAGGGTTTCACTGTGCAGCTCAGACTCATAATGATTCTCTTATTTTCAGCCTCCCCAGTGCTGGGATTATAGGCATGCCCCACCATGGCTGAACTCAGTGGCCGCTCAGCGCACTGGAGGGTGGGGCTGGTGCAGTATGTGGTGTTGGGATCAAACCCGTCTCTGTGCTTGCCTAAGCAGGTGCTTAGTCTGCTGAGCTATCTTGCTGGCCTGAATTTGTATAACTTAATTACAAATTTTGACAGTATCCTGGGTTCTATGATATACTTTCTTTGGGATTAGTTAAATAAGCAATTTTGTTTTCTCATTTTTCTTTCTGGAGTCACATTTTCATCATGTGTTTAAAAGTTGCTATGATAAGCCAGGCATGATGGTGCGTGCCTGAAATCCCAGCCCTGAGGCTAAGGCAGGATGATAGAATATTTGTGTCACTCCTGGGCAACTTAGCAAAACCTTTATTAAAATAAAAAATTATATTTATTTACTTTTTGGTGGAATGGGGGAATTGAACTCAGGCTCTGGAGCTTACCAGGCAAGCACTTATTCCACTGAGCCATCTCCCCAGCCCTGAAAATAAAAAATTTTAAAAAGGTTTAACAATGTAGCCCAGTGGTAGAATGCCCCCCCCTTTTTTTCTTTTTAAAAGAAAAACGAAAATGATACAGAATTTCAAAATAAGGTGATAGGAGATCAACAATGGTAGTAATATTGCATATTGTTATCTTCAAAATAGTTGCGATTACCTGATATAAACATGAAAAATTGGTTAAAAAAAAAAAATCAAGCATTGGGAGCCAGTAAGATAGCTCAGTGGTCTAAAGCGCCTGCTTAGGCAAGCCTAGGCAAGCGTGCAGGGA